TAGGCTGGCAAACAAAAAAAAAAAAAAAAAAAAAAATCAACTTCAACTAACAAAAGCATTTATTACCAAACACATTACATGCCACCAACAAATGTCAGGCTCAGCAAGAAAGCAAACAAACAAGTAATTTTGAATATTAATTATTACATAATGTAATAACTTAGAGAATTCACCTAAGAAGCCAATCCTCCTTTGTGATATTTTCATCTTAATCCCTATAACATCCTCTCGCCTGTAAACAAAATGCCTGAATAAATCCTTTACAACCAGATCAGATTTCTAACAGTCCCACAGCTCATTATGTTCAAGACCTTATCTCAATAACTCTTGAACCAAATTAATCTACATTAACAATCTCATTTAATAGTACTATAACAAGTAACAACAATAGTCTTATCAACTTATCCCACTAGGTGAGTTCAGTTACATGGATCATATAACCGACATTAGACCCCGTTAAAAAATAAAATCTCAGAGATATTATTGGCCATGATATCCTTATTTAAAATTTAACCTCATCCGGTAGTAATATCTGAAAATTAAAATGTTGAGCAACTTTTGGTTTATGTACCAGCCACGGCAGCACATTGTTCATTATAAGCAACTGGGTATCATAATATTGCAAACTTTGTTTTCAAGATGGATTGCCAGAATGCAATTCAGATGAGATCTTAATGAGCACCTTCTATAAAAATTAAATGAAAAATAAAATGTTTAATTTAAAGATTATGTAGCCTTAGCTCTTCACCTGACCAAGAATCCTCTTTCCTTTCTCTGCCCTTTACCAATATATTACAATAAGTCCACACATCATATATTTTCCCCGGCCCTCTACCTTTTATTCAGCTTGAGCAGTGAACCATAAGTATATGACCTTACATTTCTTATCGCCAGACCTCCTCAAATATATGCAATAACTAACAGTTACATATATCACCATAAATGCTCCTTACTATTTTTATCCAATCCACTAAAACAGACTAAGAATTGCTTGCAAAATGGAAGTCTTAAACCAGAACATAATAATTCTAATTGGCCAATAAGTTGTGACAGGTCACAAGATGTAAGATGCATGTCACAGTGGAAGTGTCTTCTAAGTCTTCAATTATTGGATCTCAGTTTACAATAGTGTACTTTAGCTAATTATAGAAAAATATGGCCAATATTATCTATTGAAGAACTACTATAATAATATGTAAATCATTAACACATAGAGAAGCTCCATGTGTTAAAAATTAAGTTGGTGATAGACTTCGGTAGGTTTTTATCCTTTGTTTCAATCACATGTATGGCAATAAAAAGACTTCACTTTGATACTTGATGGTTTCAGTATTGTATTAGATCTGGTTATAAGCTTTTACTGCTTGCAATCTGCGGCAAGACATCAATCATCCAGGTTTTGAATTTACCAGATGGAATGCAAAGCTTCGAGGTACTTTGGAACAAAATGTCAACATGTTAACAAACTTTTCAGCACTTCGCAATGCTCAATGCTGATCCCTGCATCTGGAACTTTGGTTCTTCAATATTGAGACCTAATTGATGATTGAGTCGTTGCCTTTAAAATTGGAACATTGAACCTGCACAGATTCATTTTCCGTTAGAATTAAATTCATATTCTGTGTATTCTTGCCATCACTCTTCATTTTCGAATTAGCTTCATCTTCTTCACCTTAGTTATTTTTTTTTTAATGTAGCACATGAGTAAAGTCGCACTTGTTTTAGACCATGATCAAGCTTTATCTTTTTTTTTTTTTATCGTCGTAATACTTCGATTTAAATTTCTGGGTACAACAAGAAGACACTGGAAATGTCAAGAAAGGTTGCATAAGAAAAGACAGCTCTACAATCTGTTCTCCTTCATAACATCATTGATCGACCCACAGACTAAATTACATTGGATAATTAGCACCACTAGAATTACGCTGAAGTGATGCCCTAAACATAAATACATTCCAGTTCTTCAAGAGGAACTAAACCTACAATATGCAAAGGAACTTTGAATCTCCCAATAATTTCTCTTCTGAATATTTATAAGCAGTTAGGACAAAGACTAAATAGCAAAATACCTCAAATCATACGCATTAGGTAAATATCTAGTATCTACCACAATCCACTAATCTGAGAAAAGGAGACCACATCAGTTCATATAATTTCTATATCTTATCCAATAATGCTAAAACTATAGATAAAGCATACAACTCAACATCATCATGAAACTCCAAAGAATATCAGATAGCATTAACATCGTTCTACTATACTACTCCAATCACGGAGAAGCTCGACAAAAACCTTTTAAAATTATAATATAACATAAATAGATTAGAGGCAAAAAAAAAAAAAAAAAAAAAAAAAAAAAGGGGGG